GCATACCTGTTTATATGTCATTCCGAGTCATTTCGGGTCATTCCCGGGTTCTGGGTTAACTCGAACCCGATTCGGTTTTTCAACCGGGTCGGTTTTCCGGACCCGAACCCGGCCCGACCCTCTTCGGGTTCGGGTCGGATTCAATATTGACAGCTCTAGGTAGAGTCGTAGAGACGGTGACCCGACGATGGCGCGGACCGCGGGGATGGCAGTGACCGGTGAGTATTGGAGTCGGTGGGATAGGGCTTAGCGTGCGGCATCACGTGTCGGGATGGCTAGTAGGGATTTCTACATGGTGACATCGTGTGACAGGAAGGTTGTGCTCAAGGTGCTGCATTTGGAGTTTGCTTGATTCAGACAAATTCCAAATTCCTCAATGTTCAAAACTCTAAAAAAATGCTTTAGATTCGATTTACTTCTAACAAACGCCTTAAAAATGAATCCATTCTAAATGCAATACATTCAAAATCTTTCAAAATAATTCGAAGTTGTGATAGCAACATTATTTTTGCTACTAATTTCTCATAAATTTTCGGCATGAGTAAATCATAGCATAAACTTGCACAAGATTCGTCTCATTAGAGGTGTAAGTGAGCTGAGCCGGCTCGCTAGTTGGCTCGAACTCGACTTGATAACTAGCTCGCGAGCCGAAATATTGAGCCACGAGATTGAGCTCGAGCTTAAACTCAAGATCATCTATTAAACAAACTCTAGTTCGAGCTTGATGAGGCTTGAATCACGAGGAAGCTCGAGTGCGGAAGGTCGAAACCCAGAGGCGCGGAAGGAGAAAGGCAGAACTGTGAAAACGGGAGTAGAAGCCTGAATCACAAGTGTGGAAGCGGGAGCGTAGGGGGAAAGCAAAAGCGCGGGCGTAGAAGCTCGGATGCAAAATCGCGTGGAACAACGGATGCGTAAGTTGGAATAGGAAGCGGAACCAGAAGAGAACGTTGATCTTACGCCTAGGGAGCTGGCTCTCGAGCTCGCATTCATCGCGACGAACTGAGCTTGAGAAGGCCATTTGAGCTCGAGATCAAGTTTGATCTCTCAATTTTGCCGAGCTCAAGTTAAGCTTGACTCGAGTTCAACTCTACTCATTTACACCCCTACGATCCAATAAATTAATGCTAACAAGTATTTAATAATAAATTACACGGCAATTATCGTGGACATCATGCTTTATGTGATGGGGTGCATTTTATGCTTGAGGTGTTCCCTAGGACACCTTATCTAGTTTGTTAGTATGAGCTTCTAGAATGCTCTTTTTGCTTTATAAATAGTAAGTTTTATAATATGAAAAGGTATTGAATGATATTATCCCTTTGTTAAAGCTTTGTAAAGCTTCTTCTTCTTCTTCTTCCCCGGATTGGGAAAATCCAAATCCTTCTTGAAGGTCGTATCTTCCGACGATACACTACATCAGTTGGTATCAGAGCCTGGAGCTTGTGAAGATCGATGGACTGCGGAAGAAGGTCGGCTGTCGACGACGATCGAAGCCGCAAAACAAGATTGGCGGACGACGACGATCGACGCCAAGGAAGGTGGGCTGTCGACGATGCTCGAAGCCGGATCGCCTTCTATCAAGCTCAATCGAGAAGTCGCTCGATCAGGTAGACAGAAACCTTGATCGGATTCGCGAAAACCTTCGGGCAATAAGGAAGATGAGAATGCCGTCGGCAACCATACCGAGGCATTCTTCTTCTTCGCTCTCCTCGTCAGCTCCTCACAAACGCTATCAATCCCGCCATTCTTCCTCCGTCATTGACGACTACCCCCCGCTCGAGCTTCCGCTCAAATGGCGTGAACCTCCTCCGCTCCCGCCTGACCTGACCAACGCCAAACCGACTCCGTTTGAACCGCCTTCGCTCCAGCTCAAGACGACGCCCCCAAAAAGAGCCCTCTCAACAGATCCTAAGAAGTTTCAAAAAAGCTCTTATGCCGTCGAACAAGTCTTCAGTATGTCTGAACTCCCAAACCCGCCTCAGGACGGCATTCCCATCTCTGACCTCCAACCGCTTGCGCTCGCCAGTCCGACCTCAAGCCTACTCCACTCTTCGATCCAGGCGTGCGACCAAGCCCAACCCACCGGCCTCCAAAACTCCCAACCGCGACGACCTGCCGCCGCTCCGTCATTGCCAACAGCAGCCGACCAGACTCTCGCACATCCAGCCTCCGATTCGCCGACCCGACGTATGCACGAGCTCGATCTTTCACGACCAGATTCCAGTTTTGCCGCTTGCTCCGACTCCGTCGAACAGCGTGATTCCATGACCCCCTCCCGGAAGCCAACACCAGATCGCCAGCGGTCCACTACTGGAGATACTGCGGCAGAAAGTTCCACCAACCGCCAGCAGCGATTCGATCGGTACCAATGGCCACCGGACATTTCCAGCGATTCAGATCTGATCCCGGCCTCACCTTCGCATCCTGCAATGCCAAGCCCTGTTCTCGCATCCGCAGCTCAACCCAGCTCGCCTATACACCGAGCCACACGATCTATTTTATCTCTGATCGACCCTGTCCCATGTTCAAACCTCACGCAGAAATCGTCCGAGACGATCAGGCCTTCGAACACAGCTAGACTCGATCTTCCTGCAACCATACCGAGTGACCACGACGGAGATCGAGACCGCAATCCCATGCCGGGCTTCCAGATCGTTTCCGCACCTAGCGTCCAACAGGACCTCCAACGGCCGGAACCCGATTCCGCCTCAAGATTTACCGGCTTCTTTTCCACCTCTGCATCCTTAGCTTCTTCACCACCTCCCCGCGGCTCTGCTGACCGTCTTCGCCTCTCCATGCTCCAATCCTGCGTCTCCGCTGCCGACACCCGCCTCGCCCTCGATGCTATCATGGTCTCCGCCAACAGTGGTCGCAAATTCTTGCCCAAGCCTTAGATGCTACAACACTCTCCTGCTCAAACTGGAAAAATTCGGCATGGTTACTGAGATGAAGACCGTCTATTGCCAAATGCTCCTCACCGGTTTCTTACCCAACCTCTTTACCTACAACACCAAGATTAACTCCTCCTGCAAGCTTGGCGACATATCTAATGCGATGATCTACCTTGGTCATCTGGTACGGGCGGGCTTTGATCTTGATACCTTCACATTCAACTCATTGATGCTGGGCTATTGTAGAAGAAATGATATCGATAGAGCTGGAATGGTTTCTGAGACAATGTTGCGCAAGTCTTGCAAAAGGGATGTATACTCTTATACTATACTGATTGACGGACTCTTGAAGGCTTTTAAGGTGGAGGAAGCGTTAAAATTGTTGTCAGAGATGGAGTACGATGGCTGCTCTCCAAATTCTAATACCTATACGGTTTTGATTGATGGGTTGTGTAAGATGAGTATGTATGAGAAAGCAGAGAATATACTTACTGACCTTGCTAATAATGGTTTGGCTTCTAGCGTTATTCCTTACAATGCTCTTGTTAACGGGTACTGTAAAGGAGGCCGAGTTAATGATGCCTTGAGGATTCTTGGGGTTTTGGATTCTAGTCAGTATAAGCCTGATTTGTGGATGCACAATCAATTGATTTATGCTCTTTGCATGGAAAACAGG